CACATTTTCAGTAATTGCTTGATAGATATTTATGCAAGGCTTTATTAACATATAGACAAAAGATATGGTAACCTGCATCATATACCAAACATGAATTACAAAATAGAGTAGTAGGTTACATTTGTTCACCAGTTCAGGTACGCATCAACACAATTAGTAGATTGATTACCTCACATTTGTTCCTCTCCCAGCAGCCGCTTGGCTGCACCGTACATTGTTATTGTTGACTTGACAGTCGGTAACATTGTCTTAAAAAATCAGCCAAAGGATTATAAGAAGCTTTAAGCCTCCAATTCTTTTTAGTAATTATAATAAGCTTTAAGCCTCCAAATCGTATGGTTCCGTAATAATAAGAAAAAAAAACTGATTTCTTGTGTAGCTTCTATGCGATCCTTTTGTGGTCACCATATCAAATGAGAATCTAAAAAAAAATGTGTATCCATTTACCATAATTTGTTGTGCCGAGAATACAATTAACTACTACTACCTCTGTCCCATAATGTAAAACGTTTTTCCACACTAGTGTAGTGTCAAAAAGCGTCTTACATTATGGGACGGAGGGAGTATATGTAAACGACTAAGGAATTTGAGTGGAATGAATTATATTTATACCATATACTCCCTCTGTTCTGAAATAGTTGTCGTTGGGGAACTTTTCCGACCAGGTGAAAACAGGATAAAGTACCAAACTACCCTCAATTTGAAATTCTTGTCGCTGGGTTCGTCTTACTCCATCGCTCCTCCCCTTCGCCAGGCTCCATCCCACTGCTGCAGCTCCGGCGTCCGTCCGCGCCGGTCGCAGCTCCCTCATCGGGCGCCTTCCTCCGCTCCAATCAAGAGCCCAAACTCGTACGCAGCTCCCTCGCCGTCCGCCACAGCCTCCAGCCGCCCGCGACTCCTGGCCTTCGCGCCGCCCATGCTCCTCCCCGCACCGACCAGCAGCAGCGCCGCCCGTGCTCCTCCTCCTCCTGCCTGAGCCTTCCAGCTCCTCGATTCAGGCACTGGAGCTCCGGATCCGGCCAATTGACCTCCGTCCGTGCTCCTCCCCGCACTGACCAACAGCCGCAGCAGCGCAGCCTGTGCTCCTCCTCCTGCCTCAGCCTTCCAGCTCCTCGATTTAGGCACTGGAGCTCCGGATCCGGCCAATTGACCTCCGCCCGTGCTCCTCCCCGCACTGACCAACAGCAGCACTAGCGCTGCCTGTGTTGCTGTTTGAATTGATCAAAATTGTTAATCGCCAAAGAAATTGATCGCCGGAGTTGTACCACTTCTTCTCGCCACAGACTGAAATTGATCAGATGTGGTGATTGACCAGGACGTCTTCTCACCAGTCACAGCAAGCTTGAATTGATAGCCAGAGCAATTTTGAATTGATCAGCAAGGAGCAGCCACTGTCCATCTGTTCACCTGTCAAAACTAGCAGATCAACAGTAGGAGCAAGGATCAGCAAGGAGCAGCAAGGATCAGCAAGGAGCAGAAAATTGGCAAATTAGCAGATCAACAGTAGGTGAGCTACTCCATTTTTATGTGCTCCATCTGCTACAAGAAATTCAGTGTACTCATGCTTGTAATTGTACTCTTGCAAACAAATTACTCCATGCTAGTACTCCAGATCATGATTAAGAACTCAAGAAAACAATGTTAGTTCTGGCACTAAGTGTGGCTCTGCATCTGTGAGATCACTTCTGGTGTTAGTATTGGATCATGCAACTTCGGCTAGGATGTTCTTGGTTGCTTAATAACTTAACTAGATAGACATACTTAATGCAAAAAAAAAAGCAGGCACAAAGATTTCTTATACTAACCGTGTAGGATATGACACCAACACCAAATCCTTCAAGCAATCGTCCCATATACAGGAAAGAAGTGTCCTGTAAAACAAACGCTGACAAGCGCGACAGGTTCAGAAGCAGCAACAGCAAGTGGTGAAACTAAGCCTTTGGAAAATGCACTACTGTCATACTTTTGCGAAGGAGATGGCAAGCCAGCCGATGATGTTAGGAATAGCAGCAATCATACCACCATCCTAATCCTAATTTTAATTTTGCTCCTAGCTACTCCTAATTTTTAAGTACTCTACAGTAACAGAAAAGGTACTGAATTTTCTTAATTTGATCATACCACCATCTCAATGAATCAATGTTAATTAAAGGAGTACATTTTTTTAATTTTCAGTAGTACAAATTCCAACAACATCATCAGTCCAAAACATTAAGCTATTAACTGAATTTTGTGTGCATAACTGAATTTAACTGAAATTACATCTATCTCTGAAATTAATACCAACTGGTCCTTTGGTCTAAGTGGTGGTAATTCTTGAGTAAGTACATTCTTGACAAAGAGAAGAGAAGAGAGAAAAGATTCATTTATTTTTAAAAGTACTGATGCAAGCAGTAGAGTACACAAAACCTTCATTAGAGTATAAAAAAGTTTATGCAAGCATTAAAGGAACAGTTTCAGTTATTTTAATTAACTGGGAAAGTTCCGGCTAATTTTATTAAAGGAAAAGGTTGAGTTAATTTTAATTAAAATAAAAGAAGAGAAGAGAATAGCAGAGCAAGCAATGCTACTGGTCCAAGCTAATCTGACTGGAAATCATAAACTACTGCAAGCAGCTCCATGAAAAGAAGTACTGCAAGCAGGCTACTCCAAGCAGTACTACACTAAGTAATGTCACTTCAAGTAGTACTACACCAACTAATCTCTACTGATGTCATTTAAAGCAGTAATCTCTTCAACTAATCTCTACTGATGTCATTTACAGTATTTTTGTAAACTGAATTTTTTGCCAAGGAAACAAAATTTTATAGCTTCAGGCCTAAGTACAGAATAGCTTCAGGAGCAAAGGAAAAGAAAAACATACCCAAATTTCTGAAGTGTTTCAGGCATCTCCCAACAATTTGGACGGGCAAAAAGGGAGTTCTATTCTCGTCTATGAAATTCATACCAACAATTCTTCCTTCCAAATCAATCAGAAGACCACCAACGAAAATCTGAAGAAAATGGTACCAATGTTAACAAGTACTCATTCAATAAGATCCATACAAAGAATGTGAGCACTTATAGAGCTCAGCATGTCGAAAGAGAAACTGAATGTTGTACACCTCAGCATGTCGTCCCTTTTCGACCAAATTATCTACAGAAACATTGTACATTCAGTTTTCAGGCAAAAATGTTCAGAGATAATTAAGATACATAAAACTAATTATGGCTGGTAATGTTTCATTAACCTAGGAAACTAATTCTTGCTTTGACAGTAAACGGACAACAATTGACCATAACAATATTGTCATTCTTGATTTGACAGTAAACAGACAGCAATTGACTAATTCTTGCTTTGACAGTAAACATACAACAATTGACAGTACACAGACTGAATTTATATGTTCTTCTTCTTCTTCTTCTTCTTCTTCTTCTTCTTCTTGTACTTCTACTTCTACTTCTACTTCTACTTCTACTTCATCTTACATATTCATATCTTCAGGAGAAAATGGATCTCCCAGACCTCAAGTTCGCTCCACCTGCAGAAGATGTGGATGAAATGGATGAAAATGCAGAAAATGAAATGGAAGGACATGTAGGAGATGATATGGAAGGAGATGCCGGAGAGGGAATGGAAGGAGATGAAATTGTTCAAAATCCAGGTACAGTTACACTTGATCATTTCATCACTTGATCATTCCATCACTTCATCACTTGATCATTTCATTTATTCATTTCTTTGTTGTATGTCTTGGTGCAGGTGCTGGGCAAGTTGGTAGAAAAAATAAAACCCTCAATGACCAGCAAAAATTTGCTGCTTATGTAGCATTGCATACACTGTGTATGAGTAGAGGAGGCACTTTTAAGAAAACTGATACGCAAGATATTGCAAATTTTTTTGGAGTGGGTGTTTGGAATATACAAAGAATTTGGAGGAAAGCAATGTTGCAAATTCAACAAGGTCAAGAGGTAGATGTTGCCGATCAGAGAAAAGGAAATTCTGGAAGAAAGCCTAAGGACATTAACCTAGAAAAAATCCTAACAATCCCATTAAACAGGAGGTCTACTATTAGATCACTAGCCTGGCAACTAGGATGTAGCCCTACTACACTTCATAGAAAGTTCATGCTAAATTTGATTAGGAGGCATACAAACTGTGTGAAGCCGGCTTTAAAGGAAAAGAATAAGATGGATAGGATGAATTTTTGTTTGTCGATGCTTGATGAGGCAACAACAGCAACTGCGAGGCCTAAGTTCAAGACTATGCATAACGTTGTCCATATTGACGAGAAGTGGTTTAACATGACAAAGAAGAATAGAACATATTATCTGCTGGATGGGGAGGAAGAGCCTACGAGGCCTATACACGGCAACTGTATTGGCAAGGTGATGTTTTTAACGGCCGTTGCTAGGCCAAGGTGGGACAGCGAAGGAAACGTGACCTTCTCTGGGAAAATCGGTATCTGGCCATTTGTGAAAGAAGTTCCTGCTTAGAGGAGAAGCGACAACAGGCCCAAAGGTACAATAGAGACAAAGTCAATAAAGGTCGACAGAAAAGTGATGAGGGAGTTCCTGATAGAGAAAGTCTTGCCAGCGATACAAGCAGTTTGGCCGGAAAGTGATGCTGGACAGACCATCTACATTCAGCAGGATAATGCTAAGCCCCATATCTTGCCAGATGACCAGGAATTTCTAGCAGCTGTCGCAAAAACTGGACTTGACATCAGATTAGTACAACAGCCTGCCAACAGTCCTGATTTGAATGTGCTTGACCTTGGGTTTTTCAACTCGCTGCAATTGCTGACAGATTGTCTGAGTCCTAAAACACTACAAGACCTTATTGCAGGTGTTTTGGAGGAATTTGAAGGCTATGATGTTTACAAGCTCAACAGAATTTTCCTAACTCTAAAAATGTGCATGATTGAGATCATGAATCATGCGGGGGGAAATGGATATAAAATACCACATGTTAACAAGGAAAGGCTTGAGGGTCTTGGGCAGCTACCTCCAAGACTAACATGCGCGAAAGAGGTTTACACGAATGCCCTATACAACTTAGAGGTAATGGGGAGGGTTCAGTGATGAGGCTTGTTCGGATGCTTGAGATGAGGCTTGTTCGGATGCTTGAGATGAGGCTTGTTCCAATGCTTGACATGAGGCTTGTTCAGATGCTTGAGATGAGGCTTGTTCCAATGCTTGACATGAGGCTTGTTCAGATGCTTGAGATGAGGCTTGTTCCGATTCTTGACATGAGGCTTGTTCAGATGCTTGAGATGAGCTTGTTCAGATACTTGAGATGAGGCTTGTTCCGATGCTTGACATGAGGCTTGTTCAGATGTGGAGTATGTGTAGTTCCTTGAGATGAGACTTGTGCGGAGTGCATCCCATGTGAAATTACTCCATATGTGTAATACTCCATTTTGTGAGGCTTGTATGTGTAACTCCATTTTGTGATCATTTTTACTCCATATATTTTTTCTCCATTTTGTGAGACTTGTATGTGTAATTCATTTGCTTGTGTGGAGTACTCCATTTAAATGAAAGAGAAGAGAAGAGAGTAGTAGGAGACAAGATGAGTGAATTTAGAGATGAGAAGATAATTTAGAGAAGAGAACAAGCAAAGTAGTAGGAGAGGAAATGAGTGGGAGAGGAGAGGAGTATGGAGGGCACAAGGGAAGTACACTAAACTACAGATGCAAGAAGAGAAAGAGAAGAGAGAAGAAGAGAGAAGAGAAGTCCTGCTGTAACTGAAAAAGTTTCAGTTAAGTAACTGAAAAAATTCAGTTAATGAACTGAAACTTACACCAAACTATTGTTGTCCTACACTAAACTACTGATGTCCTACACTACTGCAAGTGCTATACTACTGCAAGTCTGCAACTGTTAAATTAACAAAAAAAAGTTTCATTTAGTTTTACTTAAAGGAAAAGATTCATTTTAAGCTAATGTACCAAGTCAACAGAAGATTCATGACAAGATTAACAGTAGCAGAAGCTTCATGTGCTAAAATCTGAAGCTTCATGTGCAAAATTGCAGAATTTGCAAAACTGAAAATGTGATTCAGAAAATAAATAGCAGTGGAAACACGGGCCTCATTGCAGAATTTTGGAGCAGACTACTGAAAAGAGAAGAGAAAGAGAAGAGAAGAGAAGCGAAGAGAAGAGAAGCGAAGAGAAGAGAGCGAGAGTAGAGAAGAGAAGAGTAAGAGAAGAGAAGAGAATTCTTCGCACTGCTCCTCTTCCTACTCCAAGAACTACTCCTACTCTTAACAGAAAGAAATTAAGTTAATTAACTTAAAAAAGTTTTTTCAGTTAATTAACAGGAGTAGTTCTAAGGTGCAGAGTAGTTTCAGTTAATTAACAGGAGTAGTTTTAAGGTGCATAGTAGTTCTAAGAACTACTCCTACTCCTAAATTTAATTTACTGAAGAGAAGAGAAGTGAGTAGAATTACTCAAAGCCTTGCTAAACAGCAAATCCTATACTCCAGCACATAAAAGTTCCTACAGAGCAAGCAATTGGCTTTCTTCCAATTAGCTTGATACTCCACAGATTAGGTTGCAGCGAAAATGCACTACAGAGCAAACAATTACTCCAAACAAGCACTATTGATCAGCATCCTACTCCTGAAAACAAGCACTACTTGCACTTACAAATTCGGTGTTAATTACTGTACAGTAACACTGATCATGGGAGTACAAAAGGTTTCAGTTAATTTAAATTAACTGAAAAGGTGTAATTTATTTTCAATTACTGGACAGTGCAATTGAGAGTTTATTTACTGTCATTATTTAAGTTGCGATACAAACTATATGTGCATCCAAAAGAATTCGGCTATGAGTATCCGCTTACTAAGATTCGGTGCATCTTTTTCCTGAAGTTTAGCCAAGTGTTCTTTTCCTGAATGCTCACCTGCAGCAGCAACATTGCACAAAGAGGCGAATTCAGTCAAGTGCAGAGACGAGTCAGAGGCAAATTCAGTCAACATTTGCACAAAGAACTGTTGTCTCATGTAACTACAGAGGCCAGAGCGCCCTCATCGCCCACCAGGACCAGTCTGTACCTTTGTTTGCACGGGAGTGGTTGTCGTCCGCTTCGGCGAGCATCGCTGCCACGGTCCTGCAGTAGAGCATTCGCATAAGAGCAGAGCAGAGGGCAGCTGCTGCTCCCCATGTTCTCTTCTTCAGTCTTGAAATTGAGAGAGCAAGCAGCAAGAGGGGATGATTGCTGGAATTACCCACAAACGGCAGGCGATTCAGTAGAAATTCGCAGCTGGAGGCTGGCCGAATCGGCTCTGCCCCAAAAAAATTCATGGAGAGAGGGAGAGTAGTGAACTGACCTGGAGCTGGATCTGGACGGAGGAGGTCAGAACTGGCCATGGCGCTCCTCCCTCCGACAGGCTCTCCATCTTCCTCGGCGGCGGCAACGACATGACGAGAGCGAAGAGGACTACACAAAGTAAGAGCGGCCGGCACCACCCCCCTATTCCCGCTGCTCCGGTCCAGCACCGCTGCTCCAATCCAGCACTGCCCTCCTCCTCCCGCTGCTCCAACACGGATCGAGCACCGCCGCCCACAGATCGAGCACCCCGGCTGGTAAAAATTTCACCTTTGACCGACGAGGGGGAGACGGGTTGCTAGTTTTAGGGGTGGTGAGGAGCAAGGCTGCGGTGAGGAAGACACCGACGAGAGGGAGAGGGCGGCGACTGGCCGGCGGCGCAAGGGATCTGGGCGGGGAGGAGCGAGTGGTCGGGGAGAGAGTGTTGGCCGGGAGAGAGCGTGTGGTCGGGGAGAGAGCGAGTGCGAGGGCAAAAGGGGAAACGGGAGAAATATCGTAACGTGACAAAAAATGAACTGATAATCCCCGATGACAACTATTTCGGAACAGAGGGAGTAGTTTATAAGAAAGCTAACACAAACCCTTTCTTTTCCTTTCTTTACCAGAGTATGGCACGGGGACAGGAATATCTGTGGAAGGCGACGTGTACAGCTATGGTGTGCTATTGTTGGAGATGCTTACTGGGAGAAGGCCAACTGACCCATTTTTCGGTGATACTACTCCAAATACTACTTACCAGGACATGCCATCTTACTGGTAGATTCGGCGATACTACTTACCAGGACATGCTATGGTGTGCCGGACGGCTTGTTCTACTTCTGTTATAGTAATATTAAAACTAGTACGAATCTACCAAAGTACGTTAAGATGGCATGTCCTGGTAATCTGTTGGATATAATGGACGTCAATATAAGATGCAATCAAGAGCCTCAAGTGACTTTAGAATTGTTCGCTGCTCCAGTTTCAAGACTTGGTCTAGCTTGCTGCAGGGGCTCTGCAAGACAGCGCATAAAGATGGGCGCTGTGGTGAAAGAATTGGGTGCCATAAAACGGATAATCATGGCCAACCAGAATTATGTGTCTTGGTCCACAGTGCAGTAATATTGATTGGACGGACGGCTTGTTCTACTTCTGTTATAGTAATATTAAAACAGCATTAGTTTCTCGTGTATTTTACTTTACCATAGCCGACCGGCACTGTCTGTATCATACACAACTGGCCTGTTCCATGGACTTACAAATTATTGGGCAAGATCTTCTAGCTGTTGGTTCACGGGAATCAATTATGATCAGAGAAAGATCGAAACTGGTTATCTTACACTCAACCATTATATACAGTGGTATTGCATACATTTTTAGTGTATTGTATTCAACAACAACTACGAAATTGTAGGACTAGAACAAGCTAGATTTTGCAGAATAGTCAGAAACATAGATAATAATGTTGATCTCTCTTCATGTTAGTTTACAAAATACTCCCTCCGTTTCTTTTTAGTCTGCATATTAGGTTTGGTCAAAGTCAAGCTTTGTAAAGTTTCACTAACTTTATATTAAAAAATATAAACATTGACAATATGAAATCAATATTATCAGATGCACCACAAAATGTATTTTCATACTATATAGTTTTAATATTGTAGATGTTCATATTTTTTAATATAAATTTGGTCAAACTTTGTGTAGTTTGACTTTGACCAAATCTTATATGCGGAGTAAAAAGAAACAGAGGGAGTACACTCATAACTTTAACTGTATGCATCAGCTACTCCATAACAAAAGAAAGTGTACCAAAATACTACTCCCTCCGTCCCAAAATAAGTGTCTTTTATTTAATACAACTTTAGCATAAACTTGTACTAAATCAAAGACAGTTATTTTGGAACGGAGGGAGTACTTAACCATGGAGTATTAAATTAATCAATATAGATCAGCTCCTATCCCTGTGCTCCTAAATTGCATAAGAACATCTTCATAGGTGTACTTCTCCATGATTTTACTCTTTATGCTGACTATCAAGCTATTGGCTAGAAAATTATCTTCCATCGTATATGTAGCATTGTCTTAATAATCTCAAATTCGAGCAACAACACAGGATGCTTGGTTCTGCTTGGATTAATGTTGGTTTGTTGGCTTCAGACTCACCTCTCTTTCTTTTGTAAGATGCATCAATGGTTTCCCCCTTGACCAGTTTTGACGGGATCCCCTTAACCATCAATGCCTCCTTTTCGAAACAACAATTTTAATTTAGTACAAGATTCTATGGCCTAATTAGAACTTTCCCCAACTAATTAAGACGAACGAATCTACACTAAAAAGACAGAATCAAGAGAGTTGGACTTCAGCTCACCGGATCTCTGCGCGCGGCGCCGGCGTCGCCTGCCCGGCCGCGACGAGACGAGCCCAGGAGCCATGACCAGCCTCTAGCCTCCCAGCTCTTTCCGGGCGCTCGCCACCCCACTCGCCGGCAAGCCCCAGTGACCAGTCCGCCGGTCGCAGGAGTCCACGCCAGACTGAAAATAGTAGAAGACGGCGGCAAGACGGGTTGGTTCTTGTCTGCCAGGCAGAACGTGAGAAGGACATGGTAAATGGGCCTTATGCGGCAGATTGGCGGGGCAACGAAGAGGCGGCCGCCCTACTGGGCCGGACCACTGGCGCATACAGCGAAACTAGCGGGCATATGCAGCGAAGCGGGAAACTGGGCACTATATCAAACTGGACTGAGTACTCTAGCGGATCGAACCGACACCTGTAGCGAACCGTCCCGAGTTACTGTATCGAAACATGAACATTTTTTAAATTTTGAATGTTACCTAAAAACACGAATATTTCACGAAAATCATGTAGAAATTTTGAAATTCCACACATTTTTTAAAACTTTAAACACTATTTGAATTTTCTGTATTTTGAAAAAACAGGTCCTTCTTTAAGTTTTCGAATTTTACCCAATTTTGAAAATACGTTCTTCAAATTTGGGGAGATTTTTTTAGTTTGTCAACATTTTTATTTTATTATGGAAAATAAAAATCAAAAAGTAAGTAAAAAGGAAATAAAAAAAGAAGAAAAATGGAAAGAACTGGGATGCCCAAGTCACTGCTGGAGGACGAATATTTTACGAAAATCACATAGAAATTTTGGAATTCCGAACAATTTTTGGAAACTTCAAACACTAGCTGAATTTTCCGTATTTTTTTCAAAACAGGTCCTTCTTTAAGTTTTTGAATTTTTCCCAATTTTGCAAATATTTTCTTCAAATTTGGGGATATTTTTTTAAAACCCGAGATTTTTTAATTTGCCAATATTTTTATTTTATTATGGAAATTCAAAAAAAAACAAAAAGTAAGTAAAAGGAAAGAAAAAGAAAAAAACAAGAAAAATGGAAAGAACAACGATGCCCAAGTCACTGGTGGAGGACGAATATTTTACGAAAATGACATAGAAATTTTGGAATTCCAAACATTTTTTGAAAACTTCAAACACTAGTTGAATTTTTCATAATTTTTTTAAAAAACAGGTCCTTCTTTAAGTTTTCGAATTTTTCCCAATTTTGCAAATATTTTCTTCAAATTTGGGCATATTTTTTGAAAACCCGAGATTTTTTTAATTTGCCAAAAAAATTATTTTATTTTGGAAATTCAAAAAAATTAAAAAGTAAGTAAAAAGGAAAGAAAAAGAAAATACAAGAAAAATGGAAAGAACAGGGATGCCCAAGTCACTGGTGGAGGTGATCAGACGTGATGACGCCGCCGAACAAATGCGAGATGAGCAACTGTGCAGGCGCCATGGAGTGCAGATCCCTGGTGGAATTACAGCGGAGGATCACCGCCTTGGCTCACAGATCCTTTACAGAGAAACCAAACAAGTCAAACTCAACCGAAATAGGATTGTCATGACAAATTTGACGAACAGAAAGAAGACTTTTGATCAAGGAAGGCGAAACAAGAATGTTACGTAGTTGGATGGGAGAGGTGCCAGAAATGAGAGAACCAGAACCAGTGTGTGTGATTGCGAGGTGCTCACCACTGTCGACGATGATGTGAGAGGAGGAGGTGGAGGGAAGGAGGAAGTGAAGATTACCGGGGGAATTAGTCATGTGGGAAGCAACACCTAAATCCATGTACCAGTCGGAGGTACTGCGTGAGGAAGACAGCCCGGCGATGGCGTTGTGGAGCACGGCCAGGAGCGAGGCCATGTCCAGGGGGTTGTTGCGGCTGCTGTGCGCCAGGCGGGAAAGTGGTGTAGACCAGCAGTGGGCCGTAGCCAGGAGGAGGTGGTGTGTAACCGCCATAGCCGTATGCACCAGGAACCAACAACAGCATGGCCGGAGCAACAAACATGGCCTACTGATGCGGCGCCCCAGGGCGCTGGTCAAACACGCCGGAGCCTGGAGTGTTGGGGAACGTAGCAATAATTCAAATTTTTCCTACGTGTCACCAAGATCAATCTAGGAGATACTAGCAACGAGAGAGAGGGAGTGCATCTTCATACCCTTGAAGATCGCTAAGCGGAAGCGTTACAAGAACGCGGTTGATGAAGTCGTACTCGCGGCGATTCAAATCGCGGAAGATCCGATCTAGCGCCGAACGGACGGCGCCTCCGCGTTCAACACACGTACATCCCGGGGACGTCTCCTCCTTCTTGATCCAGCAAGGGGAGAGGAGAAGTTGAGGGAGAACTCCAGCAGCATGACGGCATGGTGGCAATGGAGCTCGTGGTTCTCCAGCAGGGCTTCGCCAAGCACTATGTGAAGGAAATATGCCCTAGAGGCAATAATAATGTTATTATTTTATTGCCTTATATCATGATAAATGTTTATTATTCATGCTAGAATTGTATTATCCAGAAACATAATACTTGTGTGAATACATAGACAAACCAAACGTCACTAGTATGCCTCTACTTGACTAGCTCGTTAATCGAAGATGGTTATGTTTCCTAACCATAGACATATGTTGTCATTTGATTAATGGGATCACATCATTAGGAGAATGATGTGATTGACATGACCCATTCCATTAGCTTAGCACCCGATCGTTTAATATGTTGCTATTGCTTTCTTCATGACTTATACATGTTCCTATGACTATGAGATTATGCAACTCCCGTTTGCCGGAGGAACACTTTGTGTGCTACCAAACGTCACAATGTAACTGGGTGATTATAAAGGAGCTCTATAGGTGTCTCCAAAGGTACATGTTGGGTTGGCGTATTTCGAGATTAGGATTTGTCACTCCGATTGTCGGAGAGGTATCTCTGGGCCCTCTCGGTAATGCACATCACATAAGCCTTGCAAGCATTACAACTAATGAGTTAGTTGCAAGATGATGTATTACGAAACGAGTAAAGAGACTTGCCGGTAACGAGATTGAACTAGGTATTGAGATACCGACGATCGAATCTCGGGCAAGTAACATACCGATGACAAAGGGAACAACGTATGTTGTTATGCGGTCTGACCGATAAAGATCTTCGTAGAATATGTGGGAGCCAATATGAGCATCCAGGTTCCGCTATTGGTTATTGACTGGAGACGTGTCTCGGTCATGTCTACATTGTTCTCGAACCCGTAGGGTCCGCACGTTTAAGGTTTTGATGATAGTTATATTATGAGTTTATGCATTTTGATGTATCGAAGTTTGTTCGGAGTCCCGGATGTGATCACGGACATGACGAGGAGTCTCGAAATGGTCGAGACATAAAGATTGATATATTGGAAGCCTATATTTGGATATCGGAAGTGTTCCGGATGAAATCGGGATTTTATCGGAGTACCGGGAGGTTACCAAAACCCCCCGAGAGGTATATGGGCCTTAGTGGGCTTTAGTGGAAGAGAGGAGAGGTGGCCAGGGCTGGGCCGCGCGCCCCTCCCCCTAGTCCGAATAGGACAAGGAGAGGGGGGCGGCGCCCCCCCTTCCTTCTCTCTCTCCTCTTTCCCCCTCCCGAATCCTATTCCAACTAGGAAAATGGGGGAATCCTACTCCCGGTGGGAGTAGGACTCCTCCTGGCGCGCCCTCCTCTTGGCCGGCCGCACCTTCTGTAACACCCCGGATGTAACTTTCCAATTTGTACTCCAACTCTTGCCGTTTCCGGCGTTAAGTTATATT